AGACTAAAATTGAAGGGGCTAAAAAACTGTGTACTCAAAAAAATTCTAACACTTCCGAGAAAAAAATTTGAAAATTTGTTGCACTTTTTTGTAGCTTTCTACAAATTATTAAGCTTGGGCTTGTATCGGGTTTGTCTGAGAATGAACTATATTTTGATTGAAAATTCTTAAAAATTAATAAATAAACATAAGTGGCACACAATATCACTATGAAATGGCGTGCTATAGATATGACTGATACTGTAGGTATGCACATACCAACGCGAAGTCAAATGAGCGTCCTTCCAATCTTTTGATCTATCATAATTCATAATACGCAATTTACGCATTCTGCCTCCCACACAAAATCACATACACAGGTGTACATGTACTCGTATCTATGTATGCACTTCCAATGACACATACCGACGCAAGCTTTTTCCGGCCGAGCGAAGGAGCCGGAACTACCTCAGTCATAATTTGAGAGTTCTTGTGTCGTTACGATTCTCTGGTTACGACATGACTCTGTGCGCGACCGGTTTAAATCATTTAAAAAGTGGTAAAAATTGGTGAAATTTATTTAAATTGATGTTATTTCAATAGCTTGTATGATAATGGATGAGTGTAAAGTGAAATTGAAAGTGTAAAATATGAAAATGAGTGAAAGAAGAGTATTTGAAAATATTTGGCAAGTCTCTGCCAAGTGCATGGTATGAAAAAATGGCCGCAGTCATTATGTGCTTTGTTGTTGTAAGGCTTGCGCCGCAGTAGCAGCGCGCCATTTGGCGGCAAATGCTGCAAAAGCTCCTATATTTCGCCTGTGAAAGTTTGCAAGTTGTGTTGTTTGTGTTTTTTCATGTTTCCTGTTTTCAAAAAGCATTAGTGATGTGTTGTGCTTAATTCGCCTTTGCACTGACATCATGATGCGCATAACAGAGTGTCTGTATGTGCCTACTGCAGTTTTGAAACGAAAAATGTATTACGCATTCAACTGTTTTGTGTTTAAAGATGAGTGTCGCTTAAACATACTGAATAATGAACATACAGTATCGGTCATATCTATAGCACGCCATTTCAAAGTGATATTGTGTGCCACTTATGTTTATTTATTTATTTTTAAGAATTTTCAATTAAAATATAGTTATTTCTCTAACAAAACCCATATAAACCCAAGTTTAACGATTTGTAGAATACTACAAAAAAGTGCAACAAATTTTCATATAAATTTCAAACTTTTTTCTCGGAAGTGGTAGAATTTTTCTGAATACACAGTTTTATAGCCCAATCAATTTTAGTCTGATAATGTGCAAGTTTCAAGTGGCTAAAGGTGACCGCTGATTTTTTAGAATTTTTTTCGCCAAAGGTGTTGCAGTTTTCTTTCATATACAAATAAATTGAGTTTATTCATTATATGGAATCCAATGCGACAAAAAAAATTCTAAAAAATTAACGGTAATTCGTAGCCACTTGAAATTTGCACAGCTAAAAAACGGTGTACTCAAAAAAATTCTAACACTTCCGAGAAAAAAGTTTGAAATTTAGGTGAAATTTTGTTGCACTTTTTTGAAGTTTTCTACAAATTGTTTAACTTGGGTATGTATGGGGTTTGTCTGAGAATGAACTAAATTTTAATTGAAAATTTTGAAAAATAAGTAAATAAACATAAGTGGCACACAATATCACTTTGAAATGGCGTGCTATAGATATGACCGATACTGTACATTTAATTACATACAGTTGTGATCAGCTAATTAAGTCAGCAACATTTTGACAAATTTTGGCTATTTTGCTTTCGTTTATTTAATGTTTATTATTTTTTCACAAAAGTATAGCTCATTATATAACAAAAACCATATAAATTCAGATTCCAAATTCAGCTAAATTTTCAACTTTTTATTCAGATTTTGTAGAAATAAATTCGAATTTTTTTTGTATGAAAAAAATGCGTCATGAAATCAGAAAAAAAATTATTAAAAACCAATGGGCTATTAAACTGCATACTCTAAAAAATCTGAATAAAAAGTTGAAAATCTAGCTGAAACTTTGCAGATTTTTCATAATTTTTGCACAAAGTTTGAAATCTGGATTTATGTGGTGTTTGTTAAATAATGAGCTATACTTTTATGGAAAAATAATAAACATTAAATGAACAAAAGAAGAATACCAAAAAAAAAAATGTTGCTGGCTTTATTAGCTGATCACAAGTGTACACACATTTTTAATTTAATTTATAGATGAACGAATTTTTGATTAACGTTTGACAAATGTGCTTACATATTTATGAATGTACATACAAATCGTCGTTTAAAGTACAAAACCGCGTATCAAGATAATGCAAAACCGCATATGTGAGGTTGCATAAACACTCATATTTAAAAACGGTTCTCTTTTTTATAAATCAATCACATTTCTGGCTACTGTATTTCAGGACAAATTGATAAGGATTGTGCCAAGAGCTTGTGGGAGCAAATCAGAAATAGTCCTCCAGCTCAAAACTTTACTAACAATTTTGTCACTAAACCAGTCGTGTTGGTCTTGTGAAAGATTTGTGTTTCAAAATTAATAGTGACCTGTCAGCAATTTCGCAGTGGGCTCGTGATAATTGTCTTTGTCTAAATGCTACCAAGTCAGATGTGTTGCCAATTAGTAATAGTGTAGTACATGTGGTAGATATTCCAGAACTGTTTGTTGGTAATAGTGCCTTCGTTGTCATTTACACCTTTGGAGACAAGAAGAAAGTTATTTATTCAATTCATTGTGCCGTAAATAACGTACTCTGAGCTTGTTTATAGCAAACTTGATTCCATTTCGTCCCATAAAATAGAAGTTGCGTTTAATAATGTTACGCGTTACGTCTATGGCCTAAGAAGATATTACCACATCTTTTCATGGAAAGAAATTGTATATTTATATTCAAGCTAATAAAATTCCACAACCCCATACGAGAAGTTAAAATTAACAAGGTCAAGCAGGCATCATAATCTGCAGCCGGATTCCAGCAGTGGAATTCTGACAATCGCTACGCTAAATTTCCATCGCCAAAATTCTCTAAATAAAAATCAGCGGGGCCTAAAAGCACGCGACATGGAAAAGTAACAGATGCAATGTGTAATCAACCAAAGCTGGCAGTTTGAGAGGCCAGTGTTGGGAAATGAAAATTTTCCGAAATTTTACGAAATCTATACAAAAACTTTACTTTTCGACTATAAGTTGTATCAACTTTTTAATTTGCTCATATATTTTATTAGTACATTCCCTTTAAGACCAATGATTCATGATGAGTATTCATGAGAAAGTTTTCTTGTTTATGTACATATATTTACGTATTTTACACTTTTACAAATTGATAAAAACGACAACTTTTAATTTCTAATGTTTAGCAGTAAGTTTTAATTTTAATTTTAGTTAATTAATTAACTTTTTTATAATTTTAACTGATGATTCATTTAGTATTAAGTATTTTAAATAAATATATATCGTCGTTTAAAGAACAAAATCGCGTATCAACAAAATGCAAAACCGCGTATGTGAGGTTCCATAATTTTATTTTCTAGAGAGTAATACTCAATATTTCAGCATATTTCAAAATGGTTCTCTTTTTTTTTATAACGCAATCGCATTTCTGGCAAGTATATTTCAGGTCGAATGGATAAGGATTGACCCAAGAGCTTGTGTGAGCAAATCCAATTTTTGGCAGCAAATGTCAGATACGCAGTTTTGCAGAATTACGATACGCGGTTCGGTACTTTAAACTACGAAATATATATAAATATTATGGGTATTCATAGAAACGCGTAAATGCCTCGTAACCGCGAAAATAACCCTATTTTCTATACAAAATTAAGTAAGTTTACGAGGTTTACATGGTTACCTCATTTGTGCGTTACGAGGCATTTGCGCGTTTTTTTACTATTTTGCTATCTAATATTATTGGTGTTCATGGAAACGCGTAAATGCCTCGTAACCGCGTAAACCTCGTAAATAACCATATTTTCTATACAAAATTAAGTAAGTTTACGAGGTTTACATGGTTACGAAGCATTTGCGCGTTTTTTTTTACTATTTTGCTATCTAATATATATCAGTTGCTTATTGGTCTTTATATATACATATACATATATATTTTTTTTTTTCAAAGTCTTCAAAATCTCTAAAACTGAGTTACGCTTAAAATACGATTGTATGCCGATTGACGTTTGGCTACACGAAAAGGACATCGTGTCATCATTCGAAACACTATAAAGCCACACAATGATAGAATTAGCCAAAACAAGTATAGAAATAGGTAAATAAAACGGCTGGGCTGCCAGAGAACTGTGTAGCTAAGTTGGTAATTTTCTACAATTAAATTTTCATTATTAAAAAATCGTCTGCAAGCCGTTATTAAGTTACCTAACACAGCATATCCTAGTCCCATCTTCGTTTTGCCCATGCGATACGAAGCTGTTGGCACCATAATCTCCAAGTACTGATGCTCTCTTTCTTTTAGGCCACGCAAATCAAAGTGTCGTACCGTCGACTCATAGAAATTCACTACGTGAGTCGATGGATGTATGAAAATCCTGGATTCATGCCAGTGTCCAGAGAATATGACATGTGGGTCTAATTCGCTGAGCACTGAACGCAAAAGTGGCCCACCTCCAATAAGAATTGGAGCATGGGATATTCCAACGCGCAGCCGTTGTTTGTTGTGCTCACGATCTGGATTCGTAAAGTCGAGCATCATTCGGTTGATTTTGAAGAAACGTAACATATTTTCGTAATCGAAGAGATCTTCACTTTGAAAAGCTTCTTCGAAACGATGCACGTTCGAATTTGATATATATTCACCATCTTCGCCGCCAATGTCATTATCCCCCGGCACATGAATGCGCTGCGCATATGGAGATATTAATTTAAACTATATACATACATATTTACATTTGTTGAGGTTTAATTTCTAAAACTTCAAATAAGAACTCACTTTTACATCTGTGTGTGTGTTATAAATGCGATGAAAACGTCTTACATAGGCATCGAAGTCTTGCTGTGTGGCAATACTACCCTCGTCCAACAGATCACCCAAAAAACAAATGATATGTGGCTGAGTGAAGTGTAGCGATCGCTCGAAAGTCTTGCGCAAATATCTGTAACAAATATGGCGACATAAAGAACCATTTTTATTATTCGATACGAAAAACTGAAACACAACTATCCGGTTAATTAAATTTTGGCTGCGTTTCTTTATACATTCCGGATAATCTCATTTCACAGCCAGAATAAACCGAATGCGTTAGAAATATACGCCAACATATCATCAGGAACGTTCTAAAGAATAAATAAACAAAAAAGTTTATTCCAAACGTTCAGAATGAATAAAGAAATGCAGCCTTTGTTTCACAGTTTTTGACTGAAAAATTAAAAATGTTGAACGCTCAACTCATTCGGAATTTAATGCGATTTGTGTTGTGCTGGCTTATTTTCTATAAGGCTGGATAAGGTTTAGAACTTTATTTTTCTGCTTACCTATCTGCATCATAACGGGATATCGGACTCCAAAAGCCTTTTTCGTAAGAATTGCCAATCAGCTGTGGATCAGCCACAAATAATATACGCGTACAGTTGTCTGTTCAAATAATAAGAACATATACAGACAAATAAATAAACATTAGATGCCTTATTTTCTCCATACAAAGTATTTCAGATCCTCCCCCGGGCAGCAGAATATGAAAATAGTACGCTAAGAACTTAACAAAATGAAAAAAAAATAACCACTATTGCAAACACTTCAACAAATTTTAAAGCATGTCAGACCTGATTGTACTCAACGTGGCTTTACTTAAACCTGGTTTACTAGCGCAAATATAAATCAATTCTAAATCTGTTAGCTGTTTTAAAAACTACGTGAAATTAGCTACAATCTAAAATTTTAATTTTAGAAAAATTACTATCTGGAAACCCCTAAGAAAGAAATTTAAAAATTCGTGAAAAGTAATACCATAGTCATTTTAGGCCGCGTGTGCAAGTTTCTGGTTGGTTGCATGCAAAAACTAAGTACGCCATTCGCTTTAGCGGCTTATTCTTCATGGAGTTGGATATCTTTTTTTCTTTCTTGCGCAAGATGAATGTTTTTTTAATATGAGGACCTAAACCTACAGCAAAACAGTCTTATAAATCACATATTTCAGGAGTAGCTCATCCAGTTTTTGCGATAATGAATTTTTTTCTTTTTGTTAGGTTCTTAGCTTCCTATTTTCATAATATGCTGTCGGAAGGATGATCTGAAATACTTTAGCAAAATAAGGCATCTGATATACATATGCACATATCGTTACCTTAATAAAGCCCCTTTCTAATCTTTTTGTTATCAAGCCTTATTAAGGTAACGATATACACTAGCTGGCATAGCGCGCTAATATTTGTAAAACTATACATTTACCGTATTCACAATCAATTTGTTGCCAAGCAGTCTGACTGATGTAGTATATAATAAATTCGTTGAAGAAGGCTAGCAGTAGTGTTAATGATATGAATCCACGCAATACTAATCTAAAACATAAAGGCTCTTTAAGAACATATTTTTGTTGCAATAACGCATGTACATACCTATTAATCAGGCGCAGTGATGCCATTACTTACATCTGCTTTTTAAGCAATATTGATATTATTTTCAATATAGTTCGATATGCATACACTAACGATTACGTAGACTTCAGCTATTCAATTTTGCGGAAATCTAAATGATTTAAACAAAATACAGTAAATAGGTTTTGAAATCATGTATATATATGTAGTAAATACACACCTGATAAATAAGGCAGAACTTCACGAAATAATTCTTCTTGCACGAAATTCGTATCTTGGTTTTCTGCTGCAATTATCGATGAAATACAAGTATATTTTGCCGGCACAGCCATCATACCTAAATGAGTAACACCAAAAACCAATCGCACCTACCCCATTTGCTATCATAAACAACATTTGTACCCACGACGCGTCACTACTTTCATAATTTAATTAAAGAACATTGCGCTGTATTTGGTATGTGTGCAAATAATTATGCTTTTATTGCATTGTATTGTCTTGGGACTATGAACGGTCGCTTGTTGACTATTTTTTGTAACCGCAAGCTTCTTGGTGCTGTTTTGTGGTGCTCTCCATTGTTGTTTCCCTCTCCTTCGTCTTTTGGTGATCCGTTTGGCATGAAGAAATGAGGCCAGACGTTCTTATGCTATATGTAATCAGCTTTATCAATGCTGTTTTGTTAATGGTGTTCGTAAATAGCATCCAATTGTTGCCAGCTTGTACAGAAATTGCGGTTCCGGATGGAAGAAAACTTATACTTTTATTTTGAGGTGGCAGCTCTCAGACCGTCTTCACACATTCCATTTCAAGTGGATATGCTTTCTGGTTATCTTTTGCAAGAAAGCTATAGTAGCCGTCATCGATTCGCCAACAGTTAGCGAGTGGCGAAACGAACGAACTCAATGAGGTACAACCAAACTCGCTATCGTCTATCAGTGCTAGCTAACTTTGTTGTTGCTTTCACATGCAAAATTCTTCTTTAAGCGACCGGAACTCAAACATAGTGAGCGAGAAGTGGCGAATCGATGACGGCTTATGTTGGAGTTCCGGGCTGGATGCTGTAACTGTGAGTTTTCAAGTGTACACTGAAAATTGTGTACACTCTTCATTTTGCGATTCAGGAAGTGTGAGAATGAGTTTTAGCTGTCAAAATTGTGTACACTCCTCTTCCGAAAAACTCTGAATTTTATTTTATTTTGGTTATTAGTTTTGCACTCGGTGTACACTACATTTTCTCACAGTTACAGAATCCAGCTCCCGGTCGCTTAGCGAAACATTTTGCATGTGAAAGCAGCAAGAAAGTTAGCTAGCAAGGATGGACGATAGCGAGTTTGGTTGTACCTCATTGAGTTCGTTCGTTTCGCCACTCACCAACCATTGGCGAATCGATGACGCCTAGTATCTATGATGCTGAGTTCCAATAACGGTTGGTTTAACATGGTCGGAACGACCAAAAATTTAAAACCATTTGGGGGATTTGTATGATGTTACTATGTATTATCATTTATGTACAGTAGCGGTAGCTATAATTTTTTTGATATTTTTTTTATAAAAGTATGGTTAATGCTACACGAAAAACTATATAAATCACACTTTCAAATTTTATATAGAACTTGAACTTTTATTTAAATTTTGAGTTTTTTAGCCAGAATTTTTAGCAATTTTTCGGGTATGCAGTCAACAAGTTTTGAGCGACTATAAAATCGCATTAATTTTTTTATATATTTTTTTTTTGCAGACGGCTTTTGCGTTTTTTTTTTTTCAAATAAATAGCGAAATTTAGTAAAACTGGCATTGACTTTTTTGCGCATATTCTTCTACAATAAATTCATGTTTATGCAAAGTGCAAAACGCCGACAAAAAAAAAAATTAAATATTAATGCGATTTTTAGCCGCTCAATAAATTTTAACTTGAAAAACATTGTAAATATTAAAAGCATCATTACTCCATTTTTGACCGCCACTGTACATAGATAGGTACATGGGCCTGAAGATGTTTAGTTCTAGATGCAGTTTTGTATTTTAAAATAATATCTTTCTATTGGTGTTTATCAGTTTTTGATTTTTCCCTTCAGTTTCTAAGATATTGACTAACATTTTATTGGTAATTTAGTATAAATTGAGTTAATAATACAGTCATACTAAACTAATCAAGATCTTTCAAATGGCGTTATCCATTTTTGGATAGCTTTTTTAGTTTCCGAAATATGGAGTAAAAAGCTAGTATAAATTGTTATCACATTTTGTCGTAAGTCATATGATGTGGCTGCAAAATTGATGACCAAAAAATAAAAAATACGACAAAATTTTACCAAAGAAAATCCTCACAAACTATTAAAATAATTAAAAATAAACAATAAAACTAAAATAATCCAAAGATTTCGTGAACTAGTAACATTGCCCGAGACTGTGGAAAAATATTTCGCTGTTTTTGAGAAATTGTGTTCCAAACTTCTATCGCGATTTTCCAAAACCTTCCAAAAAAAACATTCGTTAACCTTTTATACAGGCGAGAATAGGAGATTTTCAACAAAATGATTCCTTTCATTTTTTTTCTTTTGCTATAAAATGATTCCTATTATGTATATTTCGTACGTGTTCCCTAAGTCCACTTTTCGTTGTAAAGCGTCTCTGGCAATAAGAGCATGGCACAATACTTCGTTTACAAACGTCCTTCAAAAGATGTTCCTCCAACTTTTCCCTAAATCGGAAAGGGTATCCACAATGTGAACAATATACTGTCTCATTTTTGTGTATCACTTCGTTATGATACTTCCACTGATCGTAGACTTTAAAGTACTTATCGCAATCCACGCAATGATAGCGTCTGCTAGTTTGTTCTGTATGAGAAGTTATAAAATGACGTCGTAGAGTAAATGTGCGAGTGAATGATTGCTCACATAGTGGATCAGGACATTTGAAGTTGCGTGGTCCATGCCGTTGTTTTACGTGCTCTACAAGGTGTATTTCACGCATATAGGCGCGCCCACATTCATTGCACAGATACTTTTTTTCTGCCGGCAGTGTTTTATGGACAAGTTATATGTGTCGGTAGAGTGTCGGCTTCCACGAAAAACTTTGGGTGCACAGGTTGCAGGCGTAGATGTTCGGGTCACAGACACCATGTTTAGTTTGTCTATGTTCTATTATACGTTTACCTATCTTTGTGCTATAATCGCAGTGATCACAGTTAAATATATGTGACGATGTGGTGACATCATTTTTGCTGCGTTTAGACGCTGGCTCACAAAGAGATGAACAGTTTGTGTCGGTTTCTTCAGCCCTATTTGATATAATTGGCTGAACTTCTGTTATTACGTTTGCCCCACTGCTGGTGGAAGCAGCTTGGGATACTTCATAATCATTTAGTAGGGAGTATTCATTAGTAGAAGTACTATGAGGTAGCTTTTGCAAGCAACTATCCTGTAATCGTTGAAATTGGAAGAATTCCTCCGATTCTTGGATCCGCAATATAATATTTTGGGCGACCAATACTGATGCAGCGCAATGCTGACAAATTTGCGCATCGTTGTCATGCTCTTTAGATACCTGTTGAAATTAGTATTTCATTAGAAAGTTTACTTCTGATTAAAGTTGTGTGATTTATGTATGGTATGTGAGTATGCACGTACCTTCACTCCACTGATAAGATAAATGATGCTGGGCAAGTAGTTTTTCTTCACATATTTAAAAATAGAAAAGTTATCCAAACTTTCTTTAAAACAAATTCGACACATGGGCATTCTGCCCATTTACGTTTTCTAATTGTTTGAACAGCAAATGCAAATTGTTTGGGAATAAGCTGTTATCAGCTGTCTGAGTTTCAAGCTGCGTTTGCTTTTTGGCGTAATTTATCTATCATAAAATTCTCTGTTGTAAAACAAATTAGTTGTGTTTATTTGGGTTATCCAGCTGAGTATGTATCACAAAAGAATCTACGTTAGACCACTTTCAGACACGTCAAGCCTTGATTTCAAGTGTGCTCGTTCGTAGTCGAAGGAAGTGAGACGAATATACTTTTCCCCTCTCTTTCGCCAAAGGATCCTAGCATATTTGAAAGCACGACTTGACGTGTCTAATACCGTGTTCTGACCGACAACGAAACACTTTGAAAACGAGTTTTGGGATTGTGGGCTGTAGGCTGTTCACACCGACTGTTAGTGTTTTCGTTGACATTTCTTGCAACCTCTGGTTACATTTTTGCTACACAAAAACAAAACCAAAATGCTTTTCCCTAATTTTCTTTTCAACGTGAGTTTTCAAGTAGTTTTCCGCGAAAACTGGTTTTCGTTTGACAAATTTTACATGGACGAAAACACAAGATTTAGGTCGAAAACCAGTTTTAGCAACGAAAACATGTGTTCGATGCCGGTCAGAACATGGTATAAAAGGGGTCTTAGCTAGTGATGTTCCGATACCAGTACTTAGAAGTATATACTCGAGCACCTCTACCAAGTACCGAGTATTTTTTGTACTTCGATACGCTTGAACAAGTACTTCATGGGTATTGAGTACAAAGTGCAAGTATTCACTTTTATGCGATATTTTTTGGAAAATCAATTGAAAATAGATCTGCGTTGTAGTTTTTGAAAAAAAAACGACTCAAGATGTGAACCACTCGATTTCGCTAGGGTTTAAACTAACGAAACTGGAGAACGAAAATCGTATGGAATTAGAGGAGGATGTGGAGCCAGCCTATGATTTGCGGAAGCGTCGTCTATAGATCGTTTTGAAACCGAAGAATCAAACACAAGTAAACAATCAGCTTTCTCATTACTTAACATCCCTATTTCAGCACTTCCAAGTAACCCCATTTCAAAATAGAAGGATAAGAAAAGGCATTTTCAGCTCTTCATAAGCTTTTCTCCACTGTATGTCGTTATATTGTAAATGGGCATTGAATTAAAATTTCTTGTGTGAGTACTTTCGAGTACAAGTAGAATCGAGTATATCCTAGTGATAATTTGAGTAGCATCGAGTATTCTCTTCGATACTTTTAATGAACACAGGCATCGAGTACATGGTGGTATCGGACGAACACTAGTCTTAGCTACGTTCTTTGGTAAAATCAAAAATTTATGATTTTTGAGTAGAGCTGGAAAACTATCGATGGTCGTGGCCATTGATAGTTTCGATAGCCGAACATGTCGACACTATCGAATGTACTATCGATAGTTTTGATTAAAAAAGTCTAAAAATTCAACATAACAGCTTTTATTGAAAATGAGATCAGAATTACTTAAATAAGTATGTCGATTCTTTTGTTAAGAAACAAAAGTTTATCAACGATTTTTGGCTTCAAGCAGCATCTAAGTTCTGAAATATGTATGTTGCTGAATAATGTATGAATGCAAGAATGATACAATATAAGAATGAACACTATTTAAACTGATTTTTCCCTTATAATTAAAATTCTCTTTGGCGATGATTTGTAAACAAAGGTTTATTTACAAGTTACCACGCAACCAAAGTAGCGGTACCACTGACGGCGCCACCTTTGTTCGCTGCACCGTGGTATGTATGAGTGAAAACTATCGATAGTACTTACAAAACCCTCGATGTCTTCAATAGTCGGAGACTATCGATAGTGCCATCGATAGTTTTCCAGCTCTACTTTTGAGGCAGATTGGTCAACTTGTTGCTCTGTGTGTAGACACGTTGGCAATCTAAAATGCGATTTAATTTTTTAAAAGCGCATTTACGTTAACATGTGTTTTTTGGTTCGTTTCGCTAGTGAAAATGCGTATAATTTGTGAAAACGGGGACGGTAGCAATAACATACTACGTTTATACGCACAGAACAATCGACTTAATTGAAAGCGCATCGACACCGTACACATTTCGCTCTAGTGTTTATACTTACGGCTTTATATCGGCATCAAAGTAACCGTTTTCAAAAGCAAACAAAATAATATTACATTTACATTGGACCAAAATGCGTGATTTGAAATCAGTCATTTGAAGGTGTTTACACTGCCTGATCCGCATTTGCTTTGACTTCTCATGAAATGAAAAGGGAAGACAAAAACAAAATGTATGTAAACAAACACTACATTTATTATATTGTTAACGCTTTTTGGACACAAAAAGGCAATTATTCTTTGATTAAACTAAAAATGTGTAAAGCTCTTGTATAAATTAACAATTTTTACACACAAATTTCAAAGATTTCTTTATTTCGTTGTGTTTGTTTTGTGTTTGAAAAATTCCAAATGTCAAAGACAAACCAAAGCTTTTGTGGAACTTTTGTTTCTGAGTGCGTTCAATAAAATAGTACGGCAATTGGAACGCATTTGTTTCGTGATTTTGTGTAAATGCGTCGAAATGCGTCATTCTGGAAATGTGAATTTGTATGGAGAAATGCGTGATTTGGCCTCGCATTTGAGGTTTCTCGCCCAAATGACGCATTTGGGCTCAATGTAAATGTAATATAAGCTGTTTTCATTTGACATTTTATAAGTAAACATAATGGAAAGTGATTAAAATCTAGTTTTATTCTGTAATATAAAATCGTGGCAAAGAAAAAGAACGATTATTATTAATCAGCTTTTAAATACTGATGCGATTATTTGGAATTTGAGCGGAACAGCTGATCTCCAATTCGCTTTGAGTGAGAGCGGTGTTTATACACTCTTTCTAACTGTCTGGAGAAATAAACTACCGATTTGAAACGGAGTGTGAGCCAAAACACTTCGCTCTTTCAAAGCGAATTGAAATTCAGTTTATACATATGTTTTGAATCGCGGCGAAATGAATTAAAGCGACTTATGCGTATAAACGTAGTAGTAAAAGTGTGTTTGCATTGTTCAACTTTGCGTTCAACATTTGCGTTCAACTCAGCGCAGGGTTGCACGAGAAAAAAGTTGAATGGCTAAAAATATCAAAATATGAAAAAATATCAAAATATTCGCCATAAAAAGGTGTTTGCATTGTTCAACTAATCGCTTTCAACGAAGTTGGTCGCCAGCCAACATTTAGCCATTCAACTTTTTTTCATGCAACCCTGCGTTGAGTTGAACGCAATTGTTGAACGCAAAGTTGAATAATGCAAACACTGCTTAAGTAGGTTGGTCAACTGGTTGGCCGATAAATCAATGCGTGTGTAGGGCCTTTTAGTACGCTATGTTGCACAAAACCACATCCAGAGGTGTTCGTCGTTGTAAAATAGAAAATGCGCTGCGATTGGCCTAGGCTTCTAATAAGGTTCACATAAAAGTAGATTATCCTCATTTTCGAGCTTAACACCATAATCTGTAATTAGAACAAGAGATTGGCCATATAAAATTCGTCCCTTGTTAATCTGTAATTATAAAATAGTCTCAGATTTAGTAAAAGATTTTAAAATAGCAGTTTTAAGTTAAAAAATTGATGTAAAAAAAAAACTAAGACATTTGTACGGTGACCACTCGTACCGATTTTGGCGGGACAGTACCGATTTTGAGAAAATTGTCCCGCTAAATATTTTTTAAAAGTCCGGACGTATAAGTGTCCCGATGTTTCATATTATTATGTTCATAAACTTTTGCGATCATTTTCAAGATTCCCTTGTGACCGGGCACCCAATAGATATGTAGGCTTTTGTCAGCGTCTAGCTTGTCAATGGCTTCCCGGCTGCGAAGGAGGTTTATGTATGAAATACTATATGAGAAAACTGCCTCAATTGCCGCCTGGAATAGGTTAAATTTTGAATTGATTGTCGTTTCGGTGAAGGCTAGTTCTGCAGTTATCCTTCTCCACACCAAAGCGCCATAGAGCAGTATTGGGCTGACTATTGCTGTGTAGCACCAATGCATCAGAGCAGGTGACAAACCCAAGTGACTCCCAGCATTCTTTTACATGCATAAAGGGCGTTACTGGCCTTCTTCTCTCTTTCTCCAACATTGCGCATCCACAGCAGCTTACTATCCAAGACTACTCCCAAATACTTTATGTGGTCTTTAACTGACAGCTCGATGCTACCTAGCCTCGGGGGTCTCCACACTGGGACCTTATATCTTTTTGTGACTACACCACTGACCCATACAAATTGACGAAAAAAAACTTCGTAGTGCTGGTGAAGCATGTAAAACTATAGGACGAGAAGCCTGTGCAAAATTGTATGTGGGTTTATGTTTGAAATGTTTTGCTACTTTTCATACTAAAAATTAACTTCTTCATCCGCTTTATTATAAACACGGCTAATTAATGTAAATATACTTATGGTTGATTGTGGCAACTTATAGTAACTTACAGGTTCTCACTTAAACATTCTCTTAAATGTATGTCGCTTATAATTGAACAGCCGAAACTCAACGTAACTTAATGCCACTTCGAAATCTGTTGCATATTATTTTTTTAAGTTCTAAGTTCCGTTAAGTTAAGGAATTATCAAACATTTTGGCCCATACATTTTATAGCCCATACAATTTTAGTCTAATAAAGTGCAAGTTTCAACCGCCTAAAAAATCGCGTTGATTTTTGAGAATTTTTTCTTTGGAGACGGATTTTTGTACTTCTTTCCATACAAGCATGAATTTCTTATGAACTAAAATGGGGGAGACATAAGCAACAAA